TCTTTTAGTTCATCCATTTTCACTGTCTCTTGGTCCCAAGTTTATCTGAATGATTACCTTTCAGCATTCTCTGCTATTGCTCGTTGGGGTGCTCTCGATTGTCCCCATGTTTTGTAGGCTGGTTGGGAGAGGGAGCTTGGGAAGGGTGTGCCACBGTGGGGAGGTTGTGAGTCACCGGGATGCCTCCAGGGATGATCCCTTCCATGGCTGCAGGAAGTCCTCCCGGAGCCACGCCTACTATGCCCGGCGGATACCTAAGGAGCACATGGAAAAGGGGCCTTGTGAGTGAGCAGAGTGCCTAAAAAGCTCTTGGCCCTTCAGGTATTACAGGAAATTTGTTGTCCTCTACCCCTAGGGGTGGATTGGGGGGAATAATCACAACATTAGAACTTTAGTTTTATGGCTTATAAGTATGGGCAAATACCTRTCCAGGCTCTGAGTTTTCTGGCTGACTTAGGAAAGTGTTCACTAGTTGGGTTGATTTTGTGATTTGCCAACAGATTGTGAAGTACTATCGGAAAAATCAAGTGTGGCTGTTAATATTGACTGAGTGTTTCTTTTCCCAAGCCTTCTGTTCAAATTCTAATCCCCAAGGTGGTGGTACTAGGATTTAGAACCTTTGGGAAGACTTCTCATGAGTCAGATAAGTACCCCAGTCAGCTCCCTTATGTGGACATGGAGAGAAGCTGGTAACTCTCACCAGAACCCAAGCTTGCTGGCACCTTGTCCTGACAGCCTCCAAAACAGAAATTTGTGGTTTGGAAGCCACTGGTCATTTTAGTGGCACATACTCTCAAGTTGCTGCTCTTGTGAACTGGGACAACAGCAGCAAACTGGTAACCTGCTGTTAGCTCAACTCCTGCCATTTTATGTATGCCAAGATATGGGTTCATGTTACATTGCAGGCAGGACACACAGTTCTTAGGCACAAGGCGACAATATATTTAAAGGGGATAAATAGATGCTTCAGAATGAGCACCAAGCTGTCAGACCCTGTAGCAAGGCCCTGGTTGCCATAGTTAAACTGCTAAGGAATCCCTAGGGTCTCCAGGGCCTTGATTGTTGGGTTCCTTGGCAGCTCTTGACCTTTAGAGCACATGTAATGTTCAGAGCCTTTGAGGGTGAGCCACCAACAGGAGTCAATTTGATTCTGGTTCAGAGATGGGCATAAGCAGTGACGTGATACTTATGAGGCAGAGTGCTTATGAGACAGAGTGGAGGCAGAGCCATGTGACCTGGAAGTAGCTATAAGCAGCAATGTCTGGAGAGACTTTCAGAGAGGAGGGGCTCCCGACTGTTTTTGAGTAAAGGCCCGGGAGGCTCCTGACCACCTTGGGATGCACAGAATGACTCCAAGAGAATTATTTGGCCATAAATGCAAGTGCTGCMAAGGGTGGGAGGTCCCAGGTTAGAGCAAGGCTACAGCTCTTCCTGTGTTCTTTCATTTTGCTGAAACCAGCAGTAATTAGGGTGGGGAAGGGGACAGAAGACAGGACATTACTGCTCTCTTCTGTCCACCCCCAGTAGTCACACTGTTTATTCAGACTGTGTGCATTTCCCCCCCACCCCCTTTCTGGGGATATGACCCAGGGACACTTGACTTGCTATATCACTGGCCATTTTTGAAAGTTACTGAAGCTGACCTTAAACTTGTGATACTACCTCAGTGTCCCAAGTCACTGGGATTACAGCCATGCACCTAGTTAGAAAAGGCCATTGTCCCTAGTTGATTTTCACATTATTTTGCAAGAATAAACAGGCCTTTCCCCTTGACAGTTCGTTCTTCTAGAAACAGATTTTACAGTGGCTTCAGGAGGAGAGATTCCTGGCATGGTGGTCATACCAGTTTSAGTGACTGTTTCCTTCAAGTTATGTTTAATCTATGGGATTTGGCATCAAAAGTGAGGATAATGTACACAATTCCCAATAAAAGGCTGATTTTTCTTTATTACCAAAATCACTGCAAGTTTGGGCTGTTCTTGCCTCCTTTTGTCCCCAAGGGCACAATGCTAGTGTTCAAGACAAATTCAGTTTSTCTTCTCACCTGTATGTGGCACCATTGAGCTCAGGATGAATTGCTTGCTGGTCTATTACTGACCAAGGAGCTGATGTGACAAAGAATTCCTTGTTGACACAGTTTCTTAAGCTTTCTGGGATGCGACCTAGRGACAAGAGGGTTTAAAATTAATCATATTCATGTGCAAAGAGTGCAGTCACAGTGAGTTCAATATTACTTGGAGGCTTATGGTGCAGAGAGCCTTCAGCTGGATGAACCTCCTGCCCATCTCTGGGGGTCGCCCTCTGCAGTTTGTAACAAGTACAGTGGCTGAGGCTAGAGGGAAGGGATTTCCTCTGAAATTTACTTCAGAATTTGAGCCCAATTCATACACAATTCAATTTATTGACTATAAAAACTCATTCTGTAGCCACCTGTAGCCCTTGGGGAGCTCAGCTGTGTGGCCGTTTTCTCCTTTCCACCAGCTGGGCTGCAGCTGGCTTGGAAGTACGGAGGGCTCACCTGTGATTGCTCGGCGGATCTCTGTGGCAGCTGCCTCTCTCATCTCAAGTGATGCTTGTTCACTATACCAGGCCGTGTGGGGGGTACAGATGAGATTTGGTGCATCTTTCAAAGGACCCTGAGCAAAGCTAGACAAATGCAAAGGCACTCAGTAAATGGGAAAAGTTAAGTAGTACGGTCACCAGGTCTTGTCAGCTGGGAACTCCGGGCCACATGGACCAGCTGGGGGACTCTGTGGAGTGGGTGTGTTCTGTGCTGTATTTCATTGGGGGAATGTTAAAACAGGAGGATCAGACAGAAAAAGAAAGGCCAATTCTATTCAGGGTTGCCTTCCTCTAACCAGAAGGAATATGTCCGCAGAGAAGCGACTGCTGTCTACAGCTCCAAACCACCATATTGTGTTCGACTTTCCCTTCTCTGATGACCTTTGGGGGATCTTTTGGCTCTTTCACAAGCAAACAAGAACATCGCAGTCTTCAGAAGAAAGACCGTAATCTTCATCTGCACAATGTCCTACCCAAAAAATTTTGCCTAGTAAAGTGCCTCAGATTTAAAGTGTAGAGGGTCAGTTCTGGGTCCTGCACACTCCTGGCAGGACGTTAGAGTCAGGCTGGACACACACCCACCTAAAGGGCTCCGATTCATGCACATCAAGGGCTGCCCCTCGTATCCTGCCCTCCTTAAGGGCCTGCGCCAAGGCCTTCTCGTCCACCAGGCCACCGCGGGCTGCATTAACAAGGAATGCCCCTTGCCTCATCTGTGGGAGCAAAGAGAAGCTAGTTATATACTGCTGTCGCTGCTGCTGCAGGTTCTAGAATCAAGGTCTAATAATAGCTGCAGTTAAAGGATGGGAATGGGAGGTCTTGGTGATAGATGAGGGCCAGGGGTCAGTTTCTGTTGATACTGACAGGAGGTTGGATGTGTGGTTACTCACCTGCCTGAAGAGTGGTGAGGGACCAGCTGGGCCCTGGGCTAGCTCTGGGCCACCCCATGTTCCCGCCACCCCAAGCATGGATTTGTCCAAGGGACTCTTCTTCGTGGGTTCACCARTGTGTCCAAGAATCATTTCCCATTCCCTCTTTGCCCAAGGCAGGTGCCCCTTCCTTTGGACAGAAGTGTCCAGGGTCTGAGGATGTCCGTTTTGAAATTACCTGCTTTATAGTAAAGTCATTGATGAGGTGGTGGTTATGTTCATTGAGATTGCAGTGCAAGGAGACACAGTCGCTCTGATACAGCAAGTCCTGTAGAGTGTAGACCCTCTGCACGCCCAGGGACCGCTCGATCCCATCCTGCAAGTAGGGGTCATAAAATATGACGCTGAATCCAAAGGCCTTGGCTCGAACAGCAACCGCCTGCCCCGTGCGACCTGTGCAGAGACAGAAGGTCCAGGTGAGTGAGATCTCCTGGGGGCACTGTGTGCTGCCCTGTGCTGCCCAACCTGCTGCTCATTACTTCTTAAGCCTGAGGTCACCATCCTTACTAGCAGCTGATGACAAGAGGACTGCACCCAAGACATAGAGGTATCTGAGCCAGCATTACGCCCCAGAGGCCAATGGGGTCAAAGTGGGGATGGGTGTTCTTGGTCAAGTCCATGGTGCTTGTTGCTTATATTTGCCACACAGCAGGAATTTTTTAAAGGACATTTTCAAATCTATACCCAATTAAATGTTCTAAGGACCCACCCATCACTAAAGGTCTCCTATTTCTGTTTACCTCTCCACTTATTGGCACAGCAGGCTTCTCATTATCATCATTACTTTATTGCTCTCAATATCTTTCAGGGAACATTTGTTCTCCAGACTAATTGCCTTTGGGTTTGCTTCTACCASGAGTACAAGGGTCAAAACTGACCATTACTGTCCACCTTGAGCCTACAAATTGGCTGAACTCACTCTGAGGCAGGGTGTGTGTCTGCCAGGCCTGGCCCTGTCCCGAAGCAGAGCCTCATGTCTGGCTCCAGCATGGAGTCTGAGACTGTCACATAACAGGCAAGAGAGTATCCCCTGCTCCCTGGTGGCCATGATTCGACAAACCTGTAGACCCCTCAACACAGCTTCTGCTTCCCAGAACAGTTTTCAGCTTGAAAATAAAAAGGGATGAGGGATGCTTAGGGCTTAGAGTGATGATAAAATTTATCTAAAACACGTTTTTCAAATATGCAGGCAGGGAAAAAGCAAGGGAAGACCTACATTTCCAAACAGGAAGCCAGTGTTTGAGGGACAACTTGCTGGTAGAAGTCTCCCACTTGCTACAGCTCCATCTAACTGGGACATGGCCGTGGTTTGGAGGCAAAAGTTTCATAAAGTCATTCTGATCAAGATGGACAGCTGCATGTGATCAGTGGGACATAATCTAGCAAGCCATAACCTATTCACATTACCATGTGGACACAGTGACTGGGGTGGAGGAGCAGGACTGTGCCAAGGTACTGGGAAGTGTAGCACCTGTGCCAGAAGAACCCTCTCTTGGCCACACTTAAGACGCGGGGTTAGTGACCCCATTGTGTGGTGAGAGTCCATGTTCAACAGGATAATGTCTCCTTCACCCATGATGGCCATCCTTAGCCACCCTCCTGACTCCTGCATATTTTGATCTGAGGCTGTGGCTCTGTCTAGGAGCTGGTGGAAAAGCAGCTCAAGTGCCAAGTCCACATTTAAACAGAAGGGGGCTGGGTGTTAGTTCTCAGCAGTTTTGTTTTTCATACATTCACAAACACCCACGGATTCACCAGCTTCTACTTTTTCTGTGAGATTTTCTGATGAAAGACCTAATTATCAAAACTAGTCCTTATAGCAAAGAAGCCAAGTGCTTGGGCCTCTTGTTTAATTTTTTTTTTCCTTTTTATAATTTAGAGCATGCTACCAGTAGTTGCCTTTTCCTTCAGTTTGCTGTGAATGTGTGCAGCCTCCTCTGATCGGCAGCGTGAGTGGGGCTTTGTGGACTGCTGTGGATACTCCCAGGCTCAGTCCTTTGGTCCCTCACAGGTGGCTGCACCAGTGACTGGGCAGCCCACAACTATGCCTTCCTCTGTCCCCGCTAGTATGCTGGAAGGCTACAGAGACGATGACAGTTTGTGAGTGGGATCCAGGAAGATGGCAGTAGCTACCTATGGTCAGGAAAGCAGGGCTGAAGCCAAGAGGGTGGCCTTGGTATACTAAGAGGGCTCGCAGGGCCTTTARAAATGGGAAGACAAGGGCACACATCCAAAGAAATGACCCCAGCAAGGGGGTCCTGGAAGGAGAGCTGCTGTGGGGGTCCCAGCCTTGCCAGAGACCACACCAGGCCACAGGAGGGGCTTAGGAACTGATGAGGTTCTTAAAGCATCTAGCAACTTCCGCCTCAATTTAGCTACCAGATCCCAGYGAGGCTTGTGGGGCAAGAGGGCACTTGGGTTGTCAGACACTAAGCCAACTATCTAGAGACATGGAGCGTGAGCTGAAGGCTCAGCGTTTGGGGAACATTCCCTATCCCTCCTCAAGAGATGCATCCCACCCCATTTCTATTCACAGGTCAGGAAAACTCAAGGCTATGAACTGGCACGTGTTGAGGCTGTGATTTGGGGGACGGCTGAGGCACCATGAGCTGGGATGGGGTGTGTCCCTATTTTAGCCTCCAAATGGACAACAGCATGGCATCTGGCTGCCCCCTACTGCATCTGCCGGAGACCCTCCCAGCAGCTGCTTGCTGGTCTCCATGACAGCACTGAGGTCTAGGAAGATGCTTCCAACTCCTCTGAAGGGAGCTTCCAGGCTGATGGATAGTCTGCGCCACCCTCTGGCTTCAATCTTTCAATGACATCTAGCTGCTACCTCAGTCTAACATTCAAGACCCACAGAACCCAGGCCACCACTCAACCACCAGCCTGCTTATTGCCCATAAATGTGCCAGGCGTATCCTCCCCACCCTGGCCTCAGGAAAAGTTCAGATGCCTAGTCGTCCTGCAGCCCAACAGTAGAAAATGCTATCCTTGTCATCCCGAGTAGCAGCACAAACCTTGGCTTACAAGTTCGGATGTTACCTCTGAGGTTCCCCAGATTGCTTCTGACCCAGACCTCTCACCCCCTGCAAACTGGTGGTGGCCAGGCACTGGCCCTGCCCTCCTTTGGCAAACGCTGCTCCCTGGCTACCATTGTGAAGGCGAACTCTTGGAGACAGGACATTCCCGGCTCCTTGCGGGCAAGCCAGCTGCATGTTGGGCACATACCGAAGCCGATGAGGCCCAGTGTCTCCCCACGGATTCGTGCCGCTCCTGAGGCCACCTCTCGGATCTGTTCCACACTCTGTACCCGTGTGCCTTCCCGCAGGGCCTGGTACAGCCACGTGTTGCGGCGGTACAGGTTGAGGATATGGCAGATGGTGGAATCGGCCGTCTCTTCCACAGCTGCAGACGGGATGTTGCACACGGCGATCCCTGAAAAGGACAAAGGCAAGGCCCAGAGGTGAGAAAACCCTAGGTTCTATAGGTTAAGTCCCAGGGCTCCCAGCCCACCCTGCTGAGAGCGCAGGTTCCTGCACCCAACAGGGAAGTTAGGCTTCTTTAAACTTATTTCTGGAGCCTCCCATCCTCCTGAGCTTCTGTGCCGCCACAGAGATGGCTCAGAAGCTGGGCTCATGGGGCAGCTGTGGCTGTAGCCAAATGCTAGGGGTGCAGAGATGTGTGAAGCTGCCACTTCTGAGGACCCTGGAGGGAAACTGGAATCTGGGGTGGCCCCTTTTCCTTTTGCTGAGCCACTGCTAGGCAGGATGTGGGGAAGGACCATCTTGTGCCTCTTCCTTGGACCTCGCCTGTGGAGCAGCCTCGAGGGCCGCACAGCACTCAGGCCTGGCTCCCTCTGCCCTGCTCCTACCGCCAAGGCTACACTGTGGCCCAGGATGCTGTCCTCGGTGCAAGTCAGGGGGGCCCACCAGGGCTTCACTAGTGGAAATGCATGGGCACAAGTGTCAGTCGTGTGGGGTGCTCCAGCTCAGGCATGGAGACCCGCCGACCAAGAGGCACTGTGCACATATGGCTGGCCACCCTGGAGCACCAGAGGCCCTCTGGTACCTTGCCAACAGGGATGAGGTGAGGGCTAATTGGCAGGCCCTTGGCCCACTAGGTTGTCAGACCAGGTTGGTGGTTGCAATGCTAGTCATTTGGAAGTGTCCTTTAGCAGCCTCACAATATGGGGCCCCGTGTGCCTAGCGGTGCCACATCTCAGAGGGCCTGTCTTTGGGTAGCACCTGTTGCTTCTGGCGTTCTCTGCTGTCAGGGACTGGGCAGGGGCTGCCTATTTTGGCACTGATCTGGGCCCTGCTTCCCACAGTATGTGCTCCATCCCTAGATGGAAGAAACCTGAGACCCAGAGCCTTCCACACCTTCCTCTCCAGGGGTACATGGGCTCCTTTGGTCTTGGGTCCCTGCAGACCTTAGGCTGCAGTGCGTTCTTGGAKTAGGGGTCCTGGTGTCTGAGGAATGTGGAAATGAAGCCAACGAAGTACATCGAAACTCCCTCAAAGCCAGCCACGTACTCACCAAGCTCGCCGGCAGCCTTGATGTCCACGTTGTCATAGCCACTGCCGATCCGCACGATCACCCGCAGGGCCTTGAACTTCTCCAGGTCTTCCCTGGTGAGGGTGATRGTGTGGTACATCATGGCGCCTACGGCCTCATTTAACACCTGCAGAGGGAGGGCGGAGCACAGGTCAGAGCCCCAGTCCTTAGCAAAATCATGAACTAGAGACATGAATGTTTGGGGGGCGTGCCGGTGACCTGGCACAGCAGGGGGCAAAGGATGGTGGGGATGCCCGTAGTGGGGGCTTGAGAGCAACAGTGACACAGGACCAGCGTGGCCCACCTTCTCGTGGATCTCCTGAGTGGACTGTGCATCGCAGAAGGCCACAGTGGCCAGGTCCTTTAGGATGGGCATCTCCACGGTGCAGTCTCTGCCGTCCAGCAGTGCCACCAAGGGGCGGGGGTGCAGGGGGCCGTTCATGATCTGGGGGCGGATACCTGTGAGGAGGGAGCGGATAAGTGGTGGGTAAACAGGGTCCCAAGTGTCCCCCTCAGGAATCAGGCCAGGGCAGTAGGAAGCAGCAGAGCCTGGCAGGGCAGGAACACGAGGCAGGACCACATGTGGTTAGGACCAGGGCTCCTCCTCACACCACTGCAGGGCTATTTTGAGGACCCAGCAGGCTCCGGACACGGTTGTTTCCCCCGAGGCCTAGAGGGAGCATCTCCTGGCCTGTGGGGTGAGGACAAGACCTCCCAAGGAGCTCACGGGAAGCCCTGGGGAGCCAACTCTACAGCCACTGAGGAGGGCCTGCATTACAGCTGTCACTTTGCAGAGGGACTCTGAAGGTAACTGCCTACCATCAGCCCACAGCCAAAGGCCCCAAGACCCTTGGACCCCAAGGGCACGGCTACCAGGTGCCCCTCAAAACAAACATGAGGAGGGAGTGCTTGAGGACTTGTACCCTGAGGAACCTCCCARAGAACCCCTCGGTGGAACCAGGTGGCCAGGGCAGTCTCAGTCCTCTCCCTGACCTATGAGGAGCCATAGTCCGTGGTGGGAAGGGCACGAGTGAGGCAAGAGGCCCTTGGCACTCAGAGCAAACTTCCTGAAGGGTCACAGAGCAAGCAGAACCATTTTGGGGGCAGGGCCCTTCTGTGCAGACCAACGCGGTGGCTTCTAGACCCTCAGCAGGGTGGCTGCAAGGCCTGTGCCAGCTCTCTGCCATGTGGCCATTATTCCCAGATATGCAGACAGGATGGACATCCTAGGTCCCCCCCAGGTGCCAGAGCAGGAGTCCAGACCAAGTGGGTGAGCATTCCCTTGCTGGACTTTCAGGGGCGTTAATTAAGAAGGGGCCACAGTGGGGAATGACACCAGGCACAAGGCAAGGACCCAGGGTCATGTGATCTATCTGGGGAGGCCGAGCACCATCATTCAAGATGCCCAGGCACAGCATCAGTGCAGACCCGTTACCCAGGTAACAAACTCCAGGTTGCCTAGCGATCAGCTCCCTGCGACCCTTGGGCTACCTGACCCAGGTTCAATGCCTGGGTCCCAGCTGGAAGTTCTTTATTATGAGGCAGAGAACGACACAGCCTCAGGCTAAGTAGAGGTGGCGGGTGGGAGCAGAGGGATGCCCTGTGTCCCGAGTGAGGCACAGCGGGGCTGAGAAGGCCACAGAGGAGCCAGCACAGAGGGTGAGGGAAAGCGTAGGGACAGTTTCTGACCCACAGAACCTGTCCACTGCACCCTGGGGAACCCAGAGTTTAATACAGTCTCCTCCCCCACCTACCGTCTCAGTCTTGCCAGAGGCCGAGACAAGGGTCCTAGAGGGCCTCKCGCAGTACCAGAGAAGCTGCCAGCCAGCAGACCTCTTGTATTACCCGTTTTCTGATGTTTTACACAAATCAAACAATTTTTAACATATTAGGACGTAACGGACCCATGACAGAGTAAGGTTCAAATACAACAAGCGGAACACATCCCCGCCAGGACTCTGAGACTGGTCTGTTCCCTCTACCACTAGAAGGATCTGGAGGAAGAGAGTCCAAGGCACCATGGTCAATGAGGAGTCTAAAAACAGGACCAGGTGGAGGGCTCCGAGTCATTAGACGCTGTTAAACCTTTTCCACCGACACCACCAAGACTGAAAAGGACCCGATGATGCTGCCACTGTTCCTGTTCCCAGCCGGATGGTGAAGCCAAAGCGGGTCCACAAGGCCTGGCACTCCTCCATGCTGAACAGCGGTTTACCACCTTCCTTCCCCAGGACGGAAGGCCGGCAACTCCCCTGTTGTCAATTACTGGCCTCCGGAATGGGGGGCCACATTCCCCTTCAGGAACACTCTTGGAGCACTCGGTGCTGCAGCTCAGGCCTGGAACTGCTGGAGCTGAAGTCGTGTGTAACTAACATGAACTTAGGGTACCAGCAGGCAGCATCGCTGGTGTTTGTGAACAGTGACCAGTCACCCACGAACGTCCCTGTGGAAGACAATGGTGGCTTTCTTTCTAGTCATCCAGCTGTGGTGCCACCATAGTTGGATTAAAAAAAAACATCTTTTAGGAGAGTGAACATGGGCTGACAGGCTAGAGTCAGCTGTCTGGCGTGGGACTCAGGACAAATGGGACGTGCTCTCCAGGGTGGATCCTGCCACCCAATGATGCATGGTGCTGCTGGGCGTGTGTTTACGTTCTGGGATTGAACCCAGGGGTTCTCTAGCTCGGGGCTACACCCCAGCCCTTTCTTCTTCTGATCCTCCTGCCTGCATTTCCTGCATCACCGGAAAGGACAGTGTGGGACTCCAGGCACGGCACCCTGCGGTATTCCTGAGGCCTGTGTTCTTGGTCACTGTGTGAGTTGAAGTGAAGAAACCTGCCGCATTAAAAAATGGTTCGAATTGGTTTCTGTCCTTTGCAGGTTAAGAGCCAACCTGCCCCCAGGACGTGACTTTGTTTTTAGGGATTGAGAATCTCAGGTTCACCCCCAAGGCAAAGCAGCCTCCATGGTCAGGTCTGGACATGTTCCGAGTGCACCTCGGAAGCCTTCTTGCACCAACAGTGTGGTCCTCAATGCAGCATGTGAAGAGCTGGGGGCAGCAGGCGGTCCACAGGTCCACCAGGGAGAGTCCTTGGAAGGGCTTGAATCCATTACTTCTCTGCAGAAGGTTGTTATGAAGAGGGTGAGCGCGGCCCCCTCCCTCTCCTGCTCCTTATTTTGCAATGTTGTCATCTGCTCTTGCAAATGCTTCCACCGTGATGCCATCTGCTGTTTGGTCTTCACCAGAGGCTGGATCCAGGGGGCTGCCCCACTGTGGATTTTCAGCCTCCCAAACTTTCAGGCTTAATAAGCATCTTTTCTTTAAAAAGTCAGCCTGCCTCAGGTGTTTCATTATAGCAAGGAAAAAATGGTCAAATGCAATGTTTGACATGGCAGTGGAGGCTGCAGTTCTGCGAAGACAAAGCTGGCGACAGACCTAAGTGCCCCAAGGGCCCCACAGGGGAAAAGGAGCAGCCAAAGCAGTTGAATTCATGAAAACAATTTTTCCAAGTCAGAGAATGGTCTAATAGGTAGAACCCAGATGGGAGCATTGGTGGGCTCAAGGAACTCAAGAGTTCTTGGGGATACTGGCCCCGACCTATCCTTGACTGCTGGCTCTGGATGACGGGCCTGGATTCTTCCAGAAGGGAGGCTCAAACACCTCTTACAAAGATCCCGAGACCAAGAGTACCATCCAGAGTGCTGTGTACCCAGCAAGAAGCTGTCATAGATTAAATGCTTTGCCAGCGCCAAGCCTTGTGAGGTAGCCTGGGTGACAGGAGTCAGTTGGTACAGCCCCCGCCCCTCGCACAAAAAGGTAGAGAGAAGAGACAGCCTCAGCCTTGCGCCACCTTCGGAGTGGCACCACTTCTACCCTACAGAAGCCTTCATGGCTCATGGGCCCATGTCCCCCAACATCCTAAGCAAAGTTTCCCCTAAATTTTGTAGGGCTCCTTAATTCAACAGCCTCTTCTTGTAATCCAGCCAAACGGGACTTACTCTCCTTGGTGAGGTACAGCACCCGGASAGCTGAAGGCCCCATAGACCCTGAGCTGGGGATGGCAAGGGGGTACTGCAGAGGCCTGGGTTTCACACTACAGACCAGACACGGGACGGGGCTAGGCCRGGGCCAGATCAATGACACGGGCAGGAAAGAGGCTCCACCTGGGACTCGGCACTGAGCAGCCCGGCACAGGGAGGTTGCAGGGGGCCTAGCTGTCTAGCTGAGGCCTACCCTTGTCCCACGGACACATCTGTCCACTTTGTGGGACTTCYGGACATCAAACCTGGGATGTGAACCACAGCACAGGTGCTGGAAAGTGACCCAGGCTGCCCCTGCTCCCACCCCTTGTTGCCGGGTGTGGTGCTGTTTTAAGGCAGAACTGCCACTGCCATCAGAATTAGCTTTATGTCCCTGTGCTTGCCACTGGCCCTCTCACCTGCCAGGTGCGCTTTCCTGCGATGTTGGGGAGGGGGTGCGCTCCAGGGAGGTCCCTGCCAAGCCTCTTGGGTGATCTGGGAGAGCGCCAAAGCCAGGCCCAATTTTGGAGACTCAGTAACCTTCAGATTTGTCATGTGCTYGGATTCTTCTCTGGTTCCCTCCCCTTGCAAGTCTCATTTGACACCTCTGAAGGCTCCGCAGAGCCTCTGCCCACCACGCCAAGCAAACCCACGCTCGGCCTTGTTCTGCGCACTGGGGGTTGAACCAAGGATGCTCTGCCATGGAGCCACATGCCCAGCCTGTTTGTTTATGTGCAAGCTGGCTGGGACTTGTGAGGTCCCCTTGCCCCACTCAGACTCAAGCAGCCGGGTGTGCACAGCTCGCCTTCCTATTTCTGCCTTCACAGTGGACATCACGCTTGATGACCCAGCACTTCCTTCTGCCAGGACTCTGGGCCTCAGAGTCCTGTGGAGCCAACGACACTCCAGCACCACCCTGCCAGGCCAGTTGAAATCTGCCCACCACGCCTAGGGAGCCCAACTGTTCCTGTGATGGACAGAGTGGGATGGAGAAGTGCTGAGAGCCACAGCCGAGTCTGTATGGCCCCTGGCATTTTGCCAACAGTATTGATTGACAGGCAAGGCGTTAATATCCGCCTCTGCCGCTACTTTTGAGTTCTAGCGCTAATTTTGAGTTCTCGCGCTATTTTTAGTTCTCACGGGGATTCCCCGGGAGTTCCCATTGGTTGTCGAAGTGCAGGAGGAGGGTTTTCCCGGATAGTTATTTTCCGGCTGGGGGTTGCTGGAGGAGCCTCGTGGCTTTTCGGGAGGATTCCCCRGGAGCGTGTGTGAGGTTTTTTCTTGCAGTAGAAAAAATAAAATTTGTTCCTGCTTTAGTGGCTCGTGATTTGTGCCCAGCCAGACTGCGGCAGAGAAGTGGGGTGAGCTCAGGAAGAGGCAGAATGGTGCTCCAGGTGGCCCGCCGACCTCCTCAAACACCCTACGACTCCCTTCCACAGT